GCCTCTTGCTCTCTTTTCCCTCTCTCTTTGTCCCACAGTCTCCAATATTGGTAAAAAGTGCATACTTTCAGGTGCCACTGTAACTTTTGAACCTTCAATGAATATTTTAATAGCAAAGTTGAAATGTTCAAGCTGGTCTTTAAAAAATTTTTCTCTTTTATTTTATTGTGCAAAAAAATCCCCTGGTCTTTTAAAGTAATAACAAATTAATATTTAAGGAGTTAAGAGTTGTGTGATAAAACTGACCATTTCAAATGACTCAGTGGTAGACTTTATTGGTATTAATGTCTACTATTTCATGAAAGTGTTTGCATTTGTCTAAATAATTAATATTTTATGTTATAGGGAGGTGCTGTCGCAGGAAATGTGGCTCATATTCTGGATTCAAATCATGGAAAGGTTAGTTTGCCTCAGTATAAAGAAGTATTTACCCAGTTAGATAATGTTGACAGAACACTAAAGTAATTTTTCTTTATAGCTTTAGGGGTTACATCGTATGAAATAGAATCTGTAAGTCAGCTTGGAAGACAGGGAGCCGTGAAGAGAATTGGGTAACACACTTCTTTTTCTCTTGTAGAAGGCGTTACTATACACTGCCGTGAATCAATTGGCTATGGGAAGCAGGTCAGCAGAAGAGGAAAAAAATATTGCGCTGAAGACCATTCAAAAGGCAGCGCTTCTTTCTCCAGGTGAATAGGAAATGATCCATTGTATTGAGACTTTATCAGCTTTGCATTTGTCATAGGAGTGAAGTTCATATTTCTGTGAAATAAAATAAAAAGTAATTTTAAGGAAATGTTTTAAGGTTTTTTTATATTATTATGATTGTTTGCATTAGGGTACTCATAACTAAGAAAAATAAATAAATATTTTATGTTAATTATTTAAAGGGAACGTCTAAAAGGGAACATCTGGTTAAAGATTCTTTATTACCTTTTATTGAGAATCTGAGTGATACATTTTCAAGACGTGGTTTTAGTTCCTTTTTTTTGTCAGTCTGGGTGATGAGGTTACCTATAACTGCTAACTTATTAAATCATGTTATTTTGGTGTGTGGTTAACCTTTTTTTTTCAATTTTTATTTCTTTACTTGTACATGTTTGCAGTATGAAATGATCACGTTCCTCGTGGAGAGTCGGTCCATGTGCCTTAACGCATCCCAGTTCATTTCCTCCCCTTCTCTTCCTCTCCCTCCCTCTGCCCTCCATCTCTGGGTCTCCTTTCCATTTACAAAAGATCTATCCCCTTATTTACTATTGTCTGTCTTTTATTTTGGTCTTTATTCATATTTTGGGTTTTCACATAAGAGAAGCCATGTGATACTTAAGCTTTTACTTCTGAAGGTGTATCGATTTTCCTACAAAAGACTCAAGTTTGTCCTTCTTTCTGGCACAGTAGTACCCCAGTGTGTATACATACCACATTTTCTTTAATCATTCATCTGTTGATGGAAGTGGCTTGTATGTAGTTAACTTCATGAAGGTTGGGGCTGTGTCCTTGTTTTGGTTAGTGCCATACCTTAGCTGGCAATGACCAGTTCTCCCCAGCTGTGTCATGTGTATGTTTTTGGTCGCAAAAGCGATGAGGATTGCATATAACTGCTTCAGCGTGTTTCCTTGCCACTTAGAGGACTGAGATACATTGTAGGGCTACAAGGCAAATTTTTTCATACTAATATTAGATATGGAATACAGCATGAAAAATTTATTCCCCTAGAATACTTCAAACACTTGCTAGCACAGAATGCTATTGTTTGGCTGGGTACTTCGGGAAACAAATTGTACAAAGAACAAGTTCAGTGGATCCCAACTAAGCTGCAACATATCTAACATTTCAGCAGTTATTTTATAAAACACATAAATAGACCAACATCTGTAATTCATCCTTTCTTTCATTTTGACACAGTTTGAACAAAAAGAGACCTAAACATTTCAATATGTCTGGTTATATATGGGTAAGTTTGTGATTTTTAGAGTTGGTTATCAAGTAAGTATTAGATGGATTTGCTCTTAAGAGTTCTTACTGTGTATCTGGAAGGATGGAAGGTCTTTGAGCCTTTGATTATATCAGTGATGTAAACTTTATAATCCAAAGTTCCCAGAGAAGGTCCTTATTCAGGTAAGGTCCCAATTTCAAGTCTTTCTTCTATATTATCTGGAGACACACATACTCTAGGAAGCAGAGTCATCATATGTTTAAAGCAGGGTGAGGTGGTAAAGATGAGCACTTGAGACTTGTCCTTGGAGCCCGGTGAACACGAACGTAACTGTAAGGCATCTAATCCTTGATGACTTCAAGTTGAATAAAGTACAAAGGTTATTCTAACAAATCTTTGCAGAAGTTTAAAGATAACCCTAAGAATTTGTAACTAAAGGGAAGAAAATTCAGTTTCTGCTAGATTTGTGCTTCTTTGAGTGTATGTGTTTAAAAATGTTATTGGCATATTTTAGATATACATAATGATAACATTCATTAAAGGGAATTTGTACCTGTACATGATATATGTTGCTTCTTCTAAGAGGCATTTTTAATTTTAATAATTTGTACTTAAAAGCTTTAGGTTTATGGTTTATGTACTATCCTGGAATCACTTTTTTCATAGGTAATTTGCATTGCTAATTACTTATGAACAGTTCCTGGAAGTAGTAGTTCTTCTGTATTGTGAGTGTAGAAATTGCTGCAAAGTATGCCCTACCCACCCTTATGAACTATAGAATACCATAAGGCCTCTAATGGGGTTCTTCACTTAATCTTAGAAGTAAGTCTCTGTTCAGAAATTGAGCCTACATCCATTGTAATCATAGGGTTTTAGACTTGAGCCATCATCTAACTTAGTTGTCCTTGTTTTATAGAAAAATGAATCCAAAGGAAAAGCTGCCATATAGTAAATTACTAGACCGAAACCAAGATCTAAGGTTCATCATGTTGCTATCATTATGGAGTAATTAGGTCCTGTCATGAGTTCTAGGGAGCAGTCCCCATTGTTTATTTTAGAATTTGGTTATATGTTAATGTAACTTAAAGTGGTCCTTATCTGGGGCAGACATTATTTTGTAATATGGAGGTATATATATTTATTTCTTTTTATAAAAGTTTTTGACCCATGTAAGATATTTAATGATTCTTATACTATCTGTAGTAATACTAACCATCTATCATAAGTACAATATATATTTCAGACTGATAGATTTGCTTTAGATGGTCCAACAAGGTAGAAAAAATATAAAGCTAATGCTAAAAACTATAATTAGAGAACTGTGTTATTATTATTATTTTATTTTTTTATTTTTTCTGGTACTGGGAATCAAACTCATGACCTTGCACTTGCCAGGCAAGTGCTGTGCCGCTGAGCTAAATCCCCAGCCCCAGAACTGTGTTATTAACCAGCACCCCCTGTGAGATTTTAAAATCATCTGTTCATTGTTTAATGGTTATAAGACTAAAGTACTAACATTTGAAGTAAACTGCAAAGTAAAATTTATAATAATAAAATTTACAATAACCAAAATTTTAAATAAAACCTCCTAAGTTCTAAATCTTCTATCTTCTATCAAAGGTAACTTTGTTTTTGAGACAGGGTCTCGCTGTGTAGTTCAGGCTGGCCTTGAGCTCACTTTGTAGCCCAGGCTGGTCTTGAACGTGCAAGGATCCTCCTGCCTCAGCCTCCCGAGTGCTGGGAGTTGGGTGTGCACCACCACACCCAACTACAAATAACTTTCTTAAAAAGGGTCCACACCCCTAACCTCTGTTACCTCTTTGACCCACAGCTGTTCACATGTGAGGGCAGAAAGGAAAGATCAAGCCAGTGGAAGGAATTGTAGGTGTACACGAGCTTTGCTTCGAGCGAGGAAGTGACTTCCATGCTTTCCTGTTAGAGCACAGACAAAACACTGAGCCTGTCTTTTGGCTCATGTGTTCTTAAGAACTAAAACATTGTGTTATTTTGCTTATCCCCTGACTGAGCCTTGCAGCCAGGAGCTGAGTGATAAAGATAAGTGTGTGTCGGAGGCTTGTCCTGTGTCTAGTGAAAGTGAATGAAATTGCCCTCCCTACAGTAGCACAGCACTCTTGGCAAATGCACTAACCAGCCGTGGAAAAGGAGCTTCATAGGATATTTTTCATCCTCTGATGTGCTTAAAAAAATGGCATATCTTGAAGGATAAACGTAGTCCTGTAATGTGTCTTCTGAAAACAACTTCATTGTTTCCTTTCAGGAAAGTGGAATTTTTCTGGAGAAACAACTTTTATTCTTAGAGTCTACCTAGATGCTCCTGTTTTAGTTTTGATAGCTCTCTGCTATGTTGATATTAGCAAGCCCTCTAATTCTATTTCCTGCCGTTAGGTGACCCTGCTGTCTGGGCTGGGCTGATGGCGGCCTGTCACGCAGATGATAACCTGGCTCTTGTGAACAACACTCAGCCCAAGAGGATGGATTTATACCTGGCTCTGTTATCTGCTGTTTCTGCTTCAAGTAAGTTGTAAGGCACATTTTTATACATGATTTAAATCAAGCTCCTCCAGTGATTAAATCAGGAACACAAAGAACTTCACTATATATTGTTACAAAAATACATGCATTAAAGAGTTCATACTTATATAGCAGTACAGAAACGTGATCATGTACTGTATGTAATTTTATTTCTTTACCTCTTAGAAATCCAGTTTGTTCTGTTAGCTGAAATCTTATATAGCCATTTATGTGCTTTGAGACTTGATTATGTTTTGGGTTCGAGGTGATCTAGAAAAGTCTACTAAAACCAGCACTGAAATTGTGCTGTGAATCTCTCTTGAAGCCTTGGCCAGAAGACCTGATAAATTAGTTAGATTGAGCCAGCACTGTCTTGTAAATCTATAAATCCTTTCACTGAAAAGTTATCTGTATTTAGCATCATGAATAGATTAACCAATTAACCTATTTTTGTCTTTGATGAATAGTGTTCACTTTTTTTGTCGTTGTTTTTTTGAGGGAGGATCTTGCTATATAGGTTAGGCTGGCCTTGAACTCACTTTGTAGCCCAGGCTGGCCTTAAACTCCAGGTGATCCTCCTGCCTCAGCCTCTGGAGGGCTAGGATTACAGGTGTGCACCACCATACTTGGCTGCTGATGTTTTTTAGTAAACATCGTTTTTTGCCTATCTTTAGACACTACCACAGCAAAATTTTAAAAGTAGATTTTTCTTTACTGGTGTTATATGTTTGAAATAGTTTAATAAAATGAACTTATTTTAAGCAGTAAGTCAGAAATACCTAAAAAAATCAGTATTTTAAAAATATACTCTTCAGATTAAAAAAAAAACTATTTGTTTTTTATATACTCTGATAATTTCTTTATAGACCATAGATATTCAAGTGATATTTGATATTGCTGGATTAAATACCACATTTTTAACTGTTTTCTGTTTGTTTGCTTCCTGTGTCGTGGGTGTGCCTGACATTAATTTGGGGACATTTTCAGTTATTGTTTTCTCAGCCGTTCATTTTTCTGTCTTTCCTTCTGGGATTTCCGTCACATGCAGTACTTACGCCTTTTGTAGTAGGCCCGCAGTTTGTGGAAATTCCTTTCTGTGACCTTCAGTCCTTCTGTTTATTTTCAGTTTGGGTGCGTTATGCTCACTGCGGAGATCCCCTCATGTCTGGAAGTTCTTTCATGAGCCATGTCCAGTCTCTCAATAAGCTCATGAAAAGCGTTCTGTGTCTCAGTGTTTTCGGTGTCTGGCATTTTTGTTTCTTGGAAGTTCCATCTCTTTGCTTACATGGCCCATCTGCTGTCCACGCTGTCCACGTTGTCCGTCACGGCCCCAAGCGTATTAATCATAGCCGTTTAGTTCCTGTCTCAGAATTCCAGCCTCCTAGCCATATCTGAGCCTGGTCCTGATGCTTGCTCTGTCTTTTTAAGCTGTATCTTTTGCACTTGTAATTTTTTCTTGATAGTTGTGACATACTGAGTAAAAGTAACTGCTCTAAAAAAAGCCTTTGGTAAAGCCGTGGAAGGGAGGGGGAGTGGGCAGTGCTCTGGATTCCCGCAAGTAAGCCAGTGCCCTGGCGCGTGGCACAGTTTTCTCAGTCCACCTCAGCCCTTTTAGTGGGACGGGCCAGACGGAACGGCCTTGAGTTGGGTGTTTGTGTTCTTCCACACGGAGGCCTTTATTGTAGGCCTGGTTATGCCCACTGCCGTTTGGCAATATCCTTCAAGTACCTAGTGCTCTAGGAATTTCAGGTGTTTTTCCACAGTGGCTGTTAGAAACACAAACCACTTCCACTGTCCTGTAAACTCTGAGGTTGTTTTTCCTCGTCCTTTTGAGTGGGTTTTTTCAAGCCTCAGGTAGCTTCCTCATCCACATGCTCTGGCCAGCAGTGAGCTAAAGAATTGAGGGGTCCTTTGTAGGTATCTGGAGTTCTCTGTTCACCTCTTTACTGTCCGGTACTCTGTCCTGCAACTCTAGCCACTGTGGCCTCCCTGGTTTTTCCAGCTCATCTCTTCAACTCAGGGAGTTTTCTGGGCCCACTTGGGTCTCTTTTTCCTGAGCTGCAGCCTGCAAGTTCTCCAGGCAGTAAGCTGAGAGGGAGCTCTAGGGCTCACCGTATTTGTGTCTCCTCTGAGGAAATGTTGCTTTGCACTGATATAATAGTGGGACATAAAATCAGTAAAGATATAATAAAGAATTGAAAAACGCTGTCAGTCAGCTTGACGTCGTTGACATTTACAGAACACCACTTTCTCCTAACAACAGAGCAATGTCTGTTCCTTAAGTGCTCAGCGAACACTGCCTTCCCCCAAATCACATTATGGGCCACGAAGCAGGTTGCAATAAATTTAGAAGAATTCTGCTTATATAAAGTATGCTATCTTAATATGCTGGAATTAAACTAGAAATAAGCAAAAGAAAAAAAAAACTAGAAAACTCTCAAATACTCAGAAATGAAATGACGTACTTCTAAATATCACAAACCTAAAGAGCAAATCAAAAAGGATATTACAAAATATTTTGAAATGAACACAGCTTATCCAAATTCTGTGGTATTCTTGAAGCACTGCTTACAGGGAAATCAGTCTTAACTGTCCACATGAGAAAAGGAAAAAGGCTTCCCTGAAATTAATGACCTCAGCTTCAACCTTAAGCGTCCAGAAAAAGAAAGATGAAATTAAATCCAAAGTAAGCAAGAGAAAGGAGATAAAAAGAGTAGAAATCTGTGAAATTAAACAGGAAATCGGTGCAACCAAAACCTGCTTGTTTGAGAAGATCAGTGAAATTTGTAAAGCTCTGGCCAGATGGATCAGGAGAAAGCAGAAAGGAAGCACCAGTACTGGGAATCAGAGAAAGTGTGGCACCGTAGCTGTTAAGAGCTGAATAAGGGTCTTATGAGCAACTTTATGCCGTGAAATTTGAACACTTACAGGAAATGAGTGAGTTCCTTAAAAGACACAAAGCTTGCTCAAGAACAAATAAATTGAATAGCTATATATATCTATGAAGGACATTGAATTTATAGTTAAAAAAATCTCACAAAAGAAAGTTCAGGACTAGACGGCCTTGCTGATGAGCGTTACCAAACATTTAAAGAAGAAATAGTACCAATTCTCTACCAGTTCTTCTAGAAAATCAGAAAGATGGTATCTCTTTCTGTCATCTTTTATGAAACAAGCCTTTTCTGAATACCAAAACCAAAGATATTAGAAGAAAACTACAGAACAATATCACTCCTAAATATAGATACAGAAATTTGTATCAAAGCTCTAGCAATTCAAATCCAAGAACACATAACATAGTAATATTTCATGGTCAAGTGGTTTGTTCTAGAAAATTGAAAAAGAATGTAATTCACTATGTTAACACCCAGAAAAGAGTTTGTGCTAAATAATTCCTTTTATATGAAATAATTCCTTTTATATGAAATTATTTAGAAAATGTAAACTGGTCTGTTGTGATAGAAGAATTTTAAGAATTGCTTGGGGACAGGGAAAAGGAATTGGGCAAGTTGGAGACAAAGGTGATTATAAAGACGCTGGAGGAAACTTTTGGTAATGATTAATATTATCTTGATCAAGATTAATATTATCTTGATAATATTAATATTGTCATTATCTTGATTGTAGTGATGGTCACTATGTATAACTATGTCAGAACTCTTCACGTTGTATACTTCGGTACCTGCAATTTATTTTACTTCAATTATATTGGAGTAAATCTTTGAATTTTTCAAATGAATTCTTTTCATTGTTACTGCAGATACACTGATTTTTAAATGTGAACCACAGTTATACACGGCCTTAACTTAGTCACTCGTAAACTCCTATCATGAAACTTTTCAGAAACGTACAGTATCGCATGTCAGAATAGTCTATGGTTTCCCAGTGACACATGTAAGTTTTAAAAACTGCCTGTGCATGGTAAGTTTAATTATAATGCTTTTCAGCAACTCCCTTGAGAGTACATTATCGATTACAGAAGAAAGTAACATTGACATTTTTTGTTTACAGTTAAGGACAAAAAAGTTCTTGAAAATTACAACCAATCTCTTGAGAAGTGGTGCCTCTCACAAGCTGTCACTGGTCTACTTGATACGGGAAGAACAGCTGAAGCTGAATCTCTCTGCACAAAGGTATTGTTACAAGGTTACGCACTGACATTCATGGATTCGTTCTCACCCAAAAATGACTTCAGAAAGGGAATGTATTATTTAAAGAGTGTGGTGGTGGTGCTGGCGGTGGTGGCGATGATGACGACATCTAGCATTTATTGATGACTTGCTGCAAGTTAGACGCACACTCACTGTCTTGTAATTGAGATTTGTGTGAGTCCTGTGCTGTTTATGATGTAGGTGCTTATTATTATCACCATTTTTACAGATGATGAAATTAATTCTTAGAAGGGTAAGTAATATGCCCAGGAGCTCAGAATTAGAAGTGGGTATAGTTGCAGTTTGAATTTATATTTATCTGACTATAGGACTCAAGCTCTTAATAGATCTTTTTTTTTTTACTTTTGTATGGTTTTGAGTTTTATGCAGGAGGCAGTCCATATTTTTGTTTGATTTCTGGTTACTCTGTTTAGAATACTAAACAGTGTTTTCTAATATGCCTTCAGTTTTCCAAAACCTGAACAGTGATGGTGAACCTATGGCAGGCATGTTACTGTGTTTTTCTTTTAAGACAAAAGATGTTAATGTAGAGTTTTTTGTTTCTAAACTAAAACCTCAGTATTCAGGTTTAATTGCAGTCTTAGCACTTTGCACTAGATAAGTGGGCTTTGCGTTGCATTTTGGTACTTGGTCTCTGCCATCACTCACATAGAATGAGTGTAGAGGTTACTGATAGGGGGCTGGACCTACTCACTAGGCAGTTTTTACAGGCCGCACTGTAGAGCTTTGTACTTGCACACTCTGAGTAAATTCTTACCTTCTTGCCTAACACATAGTGGGAGCTCAATAATTATTCATTGAATGAGTGAATCAGTTTCATAAACTTACTCAAATAATTTAATAGTTAAGAAGAATTTTAAACATGGCTTTTCTAGGAGCTGGGGATTTAGCTCAGTGGCACAGCACCTGCCTGGCAAGCTTGAGGTTGTAAATTCGATTCCCAGTACTGGGAAAAAAACAAAACAAAACAAAAAAACATGGCTTTTCTTGAAAACATTGTGTTTCATAAATGCTTACCAAGGAGATTTTGTTTTCCATTTAGAAACATTTTTTGAAAGAGCAGTATAAATTTTACAGAGAAAGAAAAATGGACTTTTGAAATTCCCTTTGGTCAGCTCTCTGAAAATCAAAGTAATACATTTTTTCTTTTATGTAAAGAATCTAAGTCCAGAGCAGACTATTATGTGTGTTTACTAAGCATAAGTTAAAAGTTGCTTTGTGCTAATAGAATAAAGAATACTTCATGAGCCTTTCCTTACCATTTAATGGTTCTAGTCCCTTACTTAGAAGAAACAATCAAATACATTTTAGAAATGTTTGAGTATAACCTAATGAGTAAAAAAATAGGTAAGCATAGTTTCTAGAAGAAAAATTAAGGAAATAAATATTTTAACTGAAGAAGAGTTTGAAGATTCCCAACACAGAATTGATGACATTTGAGGTGACCAAAGTGCTAGTTACCCTGATTTGATTATGACACACTGTTTATATTGTTTCACATTATAATTCTGTACACCATAAATAAGTACAAACATTAAATGTCAAGAAAATACAAATATGTCCCTGAAGTGAAATTAATGAAACACCATTTTCTATTAATAAGAATGAATAAAATTTGAAATAATTAGCATCTTGGAAATACTGACTCTTCTGATCTATGAACATGGTATTATTTTTCCAATTATTTGTGTATATAATTTATACCAGGTATATTTTGTACTTGTTAGTATATGGAACTTATGCATATTTTGTTAAAGTTACTTCTGCATACTTAGTATTTTGTATGCTGTTTTACACAGTTTATTTTAATGGCCAGTTTTTTGTTCCTAGTACGTAGTAATAACTGTTGACTTTTATATGATTGCAGCCTGCACACACACTGAGCTCAGTTGTTAGATATAGTAGCTGTTCTTGGTGATTTTCTAAGCTTTGTCTATGTATGTGATCATGTCTGCAAATACTCTTTTTTTTTTTTTTCTTGGTACCCGGAATCGAACTCAGGACCTTGCGCTTGCCAGGCAGGCGCTTGTGCTACTGAGCTATATCCCAGGCCCCATGTCTGCAAATAAAAGCAGCTTTAGTTGAGAAGGAAAGAGGAACAAGGATGGAAGGGAGAGAAAGAAGGAAGAATTCTTCCATTTATATATGGGAGGAGGTACATGTCCATGCATATTTTATGTATGTATCCATGTAGTTTAGGATATAAAAGCTTGGAGAATGACAATGAGTGCTTACTCTTATTCCAAATGCCTCAGAAGTCTGTGCTGAGAAGAAAGACATAGAGGAAATATCTTCAGTAAGAGGTTGAGAAAGAATAAAGTTATACATCTTTCCTTTTTTATATATTATAATTTGTTCTAGTACAATAGTGATAGCCTTCACTCTTAATTTCACATCTTCTTAGTGTAGGTATTTGCATTCAGAACCCACATTTTGCGAGATACCACCTGAGAATAAATTTACTCAAATAATTTAATAGCTAAGGAGAATTTTACCTCTCCATACAGTCAAGAGACATCTGAAAGCTAAACTAAATGATTTACACACCACAATAATATCAAGACTTATGTTAAATGTATTTAGATGTAGGCTTTGATATTTTGAAACTGTTCCAGTCCTTTGTTTATTTAGAGTCTGTAGTTGTTCATACTGTAATAAGAAAAGGCTTAGATTAAGAATTATTCCTCCAACACTTTTACTTTGATTATGTAAGACCCTATTTGATTTATTCCTGTTTTGGGTTTAATTTTTAGAATTTGAAAAGTAACCCTGATCAACCAGCTGTTATCCTACTTTTGAGACAAGTTCAGTGTAAGACACTCCTAGAGTCACAAAAACCACTCCCAGATGCTGTACTTGAGGAACTGCAAAAAACAGTCATGTCCAACTCCACCTCCGTTCCAGCTTGGCAGGTAAGCTGTCTCCTTTCTGGAGTCCTGAGTTAAAACACTCCGTGATTTCATTTGGGGCCAGGGATACGCTCTGTGTACATTTAAGTCTTGATTTTAGACTCACCATATAACTATCAGGTTCAAGAATGTAAAGGGCACTGTGGTTAGAGGAACCAAAGAAGTTTAATACTAATTTAGGATCTGTTACTATAATGCTTCAAAACTTCTTAATTATTGATTGTAATTTTCCTCAATTTGAAACACTGATAAAGATACTGTCTTTTACATGGGGATTAAGTAAGAGTTAAAGAAATGTTGTAGGCATTTTGTGATAAGGGTACTGTAATGGTTTTTAAACTCTACCTTTAGAAGAAGTGTGTGTCGTTCTTTTCCTGCTATTTTAAGGTAATCCATATCCAAGATTCTAGTGGGTGTTTAGTGCTTTTAGAGATAGGAATTTTGAGCACTGAGGGTTATATCAGCAGATTATCGACTCTTTAACCGGCTCTGGCTACCCCTGCTGATGTATACACAGGGATCTCTGTGTCTCCCATTCTAATTGACAGTAAAATACAAAGAAGCCTGTAATCATTTGTTTCAACTTGGTACATTTCTTTCTGTGTCCCAGAGAATGTATTGGAGGCCTTTGGTATAGATTTTATAGAAGCTTATTTTACTATGATTTGTTGTTTATTCTGTGCTTTCATTTTATCAACTGTTTGAGTCCCTGGATTAAATAATATCTAATGGCATAGAATAGTTAGGTTATGCAAGCTGAGCTTCCGTTTTTATTCTAATCCTTAAGCATATGTTTTCTTGTTTCCCTTCTTTTAGCGTAAATTTGCCAAATGAGATCTAGCTACTTTATTTCTAAGGTCAATTAGATATTGATTTCCTATTCTTTATCATGGGGAGAATTACCTTATCAAAATAAAAGATAAAAAAATTGGGCAGGTTATATAATGAGCAAAACATTCAAAAGATTGTGTTGTTTTATATTAAATTTATAAGAAATAAAAAATACCACTTGAATTTTTACATATGTATGTACATGTTTACCTACCACTCATATCAAGACAAACTTTCCAGCTTCCGATGCTTCTCTCGGTAGATTTTCTCCCTGAGGCCTCTCCCCACTCCCACAAAAAGGAAATTGCTATTCTGACTTTGGCCACTTCTGTCTAGTTTTGCCTCTTTTCAGACTTTATGTAAATGGAATGTTCATTTGTATCTGACTATTTTTACTCAACATGTCTGTGAGATTCATTTTGTTTGGAATGGCCATTGTTCGTTGGAATGTCTACTTTTGTGTGGGCATAATTTTCTTAATTTTAGGATATATTATATACTTGTGTATATATACTTTTACTACACTACTATAAATGTATGTATATGCCTTTTACTGTACTATTTATGTATATATAGCCCACAAAAATGCTGCTTGACTATCTTTGGCCTCTCTTTTGATGGTACATAGATACAATATATATATATATGTGTGTATATATATATTTTATGTAGTAGAACTTGCTGACCAGTTTTCCAAAATATTTATACCAGTTTATACTCACACTAGCACTGTTATGAGCATTCTAGTAACTAGCATTGCTAGGTTGGTTTTTTTTCTCATTTTGGTAGATATGTAGATAATAGTGTCTTTCAGTTGTTTTAACTTGCATTTACCTGATGACTAATGATGTTGAGCGACTCATCTACTTATTGAGTATCTTCCTTTCTTTGGTGCCTTTGCATAATGTTAATAGGCTTTTTGTTTGTTCTTATGGAATAAATGAATTATTTAAACAGATTATTGGAATTCATTATATTTCTGGGTACAAGCACATTTTTGGATATTTGTATCGTAAATATTTTCTCACATCTCTGGCTTGCCTCAGCACTGTACTGTTACATTTTAATAACATTTCCTACTTTAGTAAGCTACTTTAGCATTTTTGAATAGCTAGTGATTTATTTAGGTGTTCCACTTAAGAACTCTTTGCTTATTCTAAGTTCGTAAAGATTTTCTTTTAATGTTTCATTGTAGAAATTGCTTTACTTTTCCCATTTAGGTCTATAGATTATCCTAGAATTATTTTGTGAATGTTGGAGGGGTCAAAATTATTTTTTTAATGTGGATATCTAACTGAATTACCTGTTCTTTTTTAATTTTATGTCATTAACATTTATTTCAATCAAAGAAATGTGAATTCAGAATGAACGTAAGATAAAACTTCAAAGTATTTGGCAAAACAAATGTTAGGAATTTGAGTAAAATGTTGGTGGTACATGTACCACATATTACAGATAGACATTAACAAAAACAAAAACCACATTGTGAAGACCTAAATTCTGGCTTTAAAAAATCAGTTCAGTAGTATAGTCCCTCAAGAGGAGAAGCGGTTTGCATTTTTACCACAAGTTTTAAAAAGAGCCCATTTTCCTTCTTTAATTGTCACATCATAGCACTGTTTACATGTATAAATCCAAGCCCTTTTATCAGAGAATATCTTAAACCACCACAAGACAATGGCATTTAACAGGGTTTACATATAATGTACTACAGAACATTTGCTTTTGGAAGTAAATATGGTAAAATCTATTCCTATTTTTTTTTATTTTAAAGAGAGAAGAAAAGCCAATAAAACTGATACAAAATTGCAAAACAAGATGATAGGAAATTAACAATGGTTATTATATTGCATATTGTTATCTTCAAAGTAGTTGCTCAGATTACCAGAATACAGGCATGCAAAACTGATCAAACAGCATAAACATAAACTGTTCCTTTCAATGAACTAATGGAAATTAATAGAACAATTATCATAGCTATCTTATGTATATATACATATCTTTTTTTCCTCTTGCTTCTTTTCTCTTTTCCCCCATCCCAGTTGTTTGCTTTTGAGCAGTTTCTTTCCCTTTCACTGTATGAATTGTACCTTTTGGATCTTATTTATATTTACTCTTTGAGTTCCTTACACTAGGGAGACAATATGATGTTTACACGTGTCAATCTGATTTACTTCACTTATGAGTATGGTCTCTAGTTGCATCCATTTACCTATAAAAGCTTCAAGTTTATCTTTCTTTATAGCCGAGTAATATTCCATTGTATAAAAATACCACATCTTTTTTATCCATTCCTCAGTTGATGGACATTTGGGTTGTTTCCAAGATTTAACTATTACAAATTGTGCTGCTATAAACATGGGTGCACATATATCACTGTAGTATGATGTTTTCGATTATTCTGGGAAAATACCCAGAATAGCTGCGTCAAATGGGACCTCTAATCCTGGTTTTTGGAGAAGTCTCCACACTGATTTCCACAGTGGTTGTACTAGTCTGCACTCCTACCAACAATGAAAAAGAGTTCATTGCCTACCCCTGTGTCTTTAAGATTTCCACCTAATTTGTCTCATTGAACCTCATTTTTAAATAAAGTGTGTTACAGAATTACTAATATAGAGGACTTTAGGTATTATGCTATTGATTTCAAGTTTAATTCTAGTTAATTCTAGTTAATTCTAGTTTCTCCCCACAGCCCCTCCAGCATTTGTTATTGGTTGATTTCTTGATGATAGACATTCTTTCTGGGGTGAAATGGAATCTCAGTTTTGTTTTAATTTGCATTTCTTGAATGACCAATGATGTTGATCATTTTTTCATATATTTATTTGCCACCTATATTTCTTCATCTGAGAAGTGTATATTCATCTCAGATACCCATTTTTGTATTGGGTCTTTGAATTTGGGGGGCCTGATTTTTAAAATTTCTTTATGTGTTCTAGATAGAAGTCCTTTGTCTGAGGAGCAATTGGCTAAAATTTTTTCCCAATTTGTGGGTTTTCCTTTTACTCTGTTGGTGATTTCTTTTGATGCACAGAAACTTTTCAATAAGGTGAGATCCCAGTTGTTCATTATTTGAAGTATTTTCTGTGCAGTCTGGTTTTTGTTCATGAACTCTCTGCCTACCCCTATGTCTTCAAGATTTCTACCTAATTTGTCTTCCCGTAGATTTAGTGTTTCTGTTTTAATATTTAGATCTTTGATCTATTTTGACTTTAGTGCATGGGATAGACATGGGTCTAGTTTTAGTTTTTGGCATGTGGAAAGCCAGTTTTCCAGCCCCATTTATTAAAGAGGCTATCTTTCTTTCAGTGAACATGTTTGGCCCCTTTGTCAAAGATAAGGTGGCTGAGTGTGTTTGTAGTTGTGTCTGCATCTTCTAATGTGTTCCAGTGATCCTCTGGTCTGTGTTTTTGCCAGTACCATGCTGATTTTATCACAGTAGTTTTGTAGTATAATTTCAAGTTAGGGGTTGTGATGCCTCCTGACTTCTCTTTGTTGACCAAGATTGCTTTTGTTATTCTAAGCCTCTTCTGGTTCCAAATGAATTTTAGGAATGTTTTCTCTAGATTGGTGAGGTATGATAATGGTATTTTGATGGGAATTGCATTAAATCTGTATAACAGTTTTGGGAGTATGGCCATTTTCACAATGTTGGTTCTTCCTATACATGAAGAACCAACTTCTTTGTTCTCCTTTGCCTTAGTGATTTAGGACTTACACATTTCCACATAAACTGTATATGCACAAAAGCTCTCTCTTCATTGAGACTGTGTGGAGTCTGTAGTGTAATTTGGGAAGAATTAAGAAAGAAAGCTCTCCTGAATTATTAAGTATTGGTATATAATTCTTTTTAAAAATTTTTTGAAAAAGTTTATTTGTATAAGAGGTCTGTTTTTTGGTTTTTTTTTTAAAACTATTTAGAGGGATTCACTATTGAAGTCATTTAGGCCAGGAATTTTATTCAGGGAAAGTTTTAAATTACAGATGGAATTTCATATATATGCCATTAAGATTTAAGACTTCTTTTTTTTTTTTTTTGAGCATTGGTGGGTTTCAGAGAATTTTTCCAGTGTATCTCAATTTCAGACTTACTGGCATAAAATTATTCATGATACTATATGTTCTTCACCATTTGCAAGATCAATTGTAATTTTTCCTTCTTATAATATCATTATATTGGTGGCTTGTTTCTCATTTTCTTTGGATAACTTTAGCAATTATATGACTCTTTTCAAAAAGCCAATTTTCTGTTTTGTTGATTTTTTTATCCCTTCTTTGTATGTTATTGATTTCTTTTCTTCATTGTTTCGTTTGCTTTACTTTTGGGGGGTTTGTTTTTCCCCAGCTTCTCAAGATAGAATTTTTTGTTGTTCTAATGTATGAATCCCACAAAATTTTGTATAGTGCTTTCATTGTCATTCTTTGAAATATATTCTAATTTCCATTGGGATTTCTTTCACTCATTTTTAAATAAAGTGTGTTACAGAATTACTAATATAGAGGACGTTAGATATTGTACTATTGATTTCAAGTTTAATTCTAGTTAATCGGAGCATACTTTGTATAATTTTGGTTCTTTGAAATTTGTTGAGATCTGTTTTATTATCCAACATATGGTTAAATTTAGTAATTGTTGCATGTGTAGTTGCAAAAATAGCTAATCAACAGTTATTGGATATAGTCTTTTAAATGTGTCATTTGAATCAAGCTGGTTGTTTAAGTCTTCTGTACCTTTATTGATTATTTATTTATTTATTTTTTAATCATTGTTGAGATAGAGTGTTAAAATCTCCCAGTTATGATTCTGGATTTGTCTAGTTTCATTTCCATCAACTTTTGTTTAATGAATTTTATTAGGTATGTATTTTTGTGTTGAATGAAGTGATTATGAAGTATCCCACTTTATCACTTTAATGATTGTCTTAAAGTCTTTTGTGTTGGCTATTAGTATAATACCTGCTCAAACTTTCTTTTGCTTAGTATTTACGTACTACTCCAGATTTCACATTATGTTTTGATTTTATCCCTACTTACCATCATAGGAGACCTGTAGATATCAGACTAGATATGGCAAGTAGGCTGTTACTAATAAAATAGGCAATGTTATATCCCTTTCTTGAGTTGTAATTTTTGTGTTTTGGGGCTAAAGCCATACTGATAATTACAGAAAAAAATTTGACTTCATCAGAATGTATTGAATTTGCTGGGAGTGGGGAAGCAGACTGTGTACTAAATTAAAATCCATGGCATTCTTTTCTCTTGCTGTTCCTTAGTGGCTGGCGCAAGTGTATCAGTCTCAAGGAATGATGAGTGCTGCAGAGATGTGTTACAGAAAGAGCCTGCAAGTGGCGTCCCAGCAGGGCAGTTGGAGCGGGAAGCTCTCAAGTCTGTTGAAACTAGCACTGCTTGCATTAGAAGTCTGCATGGTAAGATCATGTTGTACTTATGACCATGAAGACTTGATTCCTTTATCTCCTTTTAACGTGAAAGCCGTTCATCTAGTTACATTTCATGGAATTCCTGCTGTCTCATTGTTTCCCATTGTGACTTTTTGGTAGACTTAAAGGATGTAGATTACAGCCAAACATCATCATGACTTTGGAAAAACACTAAGATTGTAATTTTAATAGTTGAATATATATTTTTTTGTTTCTTGGTGGTACAAATTAGTGTTGAACTCTGCTACTCATCTTTGACAAAGATACTAGTATTTAACAGCTTAGTTGTTTCTTAGTTCAATGTGATACTCTTTTTTTTTTTTTTTTTTTT